AAAGAGTGTTTTGGTACAAAATTGAGAGGTGGGTTTTTTGAGGATTTTTAAAAATAATTAAATGAATTATAATGAAAAAGTACATTTGGATGTTACTTATTAAGAAATTTCTTATTTTGAAAACTTCCATTATGAGAAAAAAAAACATTAACAATAGTAAAAATGAAAAATTCATAATAGATGTAATATAATAAGTCAAAATAATCAAACAAATACAAGCTTTAAATAAAAAACTAGTCAATAAAAAACCAGAACTTGCATAATAATTCATAAATTGCTTATAAAAGAAAACTGATGTGTTATGATTGAGTTAATTTAAAAATTGGATTTTATGCAAATCATCTGTGCCTATCTGGTATATGCGCCCTGATCTTGAAGATGATGGTTTTTTTTATCATAATTAAAATATGGGGCTTAGGAACCCAACAACCATCATCTCTATTTGACCAGTGTAATGAAGTGTTAGGTAAATGAGGATACATGAATTTTACAAGCGCTTCTTCATTTCTTTCATCAACTTCAAATACCAAACCAACCTAGTTAAACATATCATATTTGCAGATTTAATATTTTCCTACAATGATTTCTTGAAGATATTGAATTGAGCCAGTAAGGTTGAATGTTAGATTAAATTCCTCCTGCTCAGAGACTCTTTCGACATTTATGCTTGTTGCCTCCTGTGGAATAAATTGGTGGAAACTTTTTGTACCAGGTAAAGTCTTTGCATTATTCAATCGAAGAGTCAGAGATTTACGGACTGATAAAGTATCTTCGCATTTTAAAAAAAAGAAGTGGATGCCAAGTATGTTATCTTTTGAAAAATTAAACATTTCTTCAGCGCTCTGAATTTGTAAATCAATTGGACGTTGAAGACTAGCATTTGAAACAAGTCTTTTAACTGTTCCACCTATGCCATCACATGGTGTAATTCCATTCACATTGCATCCCAAAATCTTCAATATGATGGCATAAATTTAAAAAATGTTTTTTATGGTATTGGGAAACATTTCTTGTACAAATTGGACAGTTCTTTTTACTATACAATAAATAAATCTAACATCGTGTGTTAAGTCATTAGATATAAAACATAAAGACGTTGGTTGACTTTTAGTAGAACCCTCATCATTTTTGTTATAAATAACTACAGGATGTAGTGTGCGTTGATGTTGGTTCCAGTGGTAACTCTGGGTTTCGTCTTGTATGATAAATTTAAAGTTTTCTGCAAAGTCAACTAAAATAATAATTTCATTTATGGGTATAGATGACTTTAATGTATTTAAATATTTACTTTGTGCTTTAGAAATTTAAGAGTAAGATGTTATGCTATCAAGTTTTCCACTAAGACTTTCAATGAATTCACTTATTGTAGATGTGTTACTTAGAAGCTCTGCTCTATCTGTTGTACTCCATTGTTTGTATTCAATTGTTTCATCTTCATCCACTTTGTCATTCTCTTCAAATGATCCTTTGTTTTGCAATAGATTTGCAGTCATATAGTTTATAATATTTTGAATTCCAGGGCATTGATTACATCTATAGACCATGCATTCCCTTGACTCTCTGCTACAAACAATCTTCTCAATAAGTTCATGGTAATTCTTCTCCAGTTTAATTGCGCTAAACATAAGCTTTAGGTTTAGGTGTTTTGCGCATATACAAACAGCATGGGTTCCTTTTTGACCAGCATAAATACACCATTTTGGCTTTAACTGAGCAAATTTAGAAAATCCTATTTTGGATTGAGGGTGTTCTAGTTTGAATTCAATAAATAATTCCTTTTAATTGCAAAGAAGTAATCGCTTTGATACATGTTTATTTTTGGATACACTTACAAAATCTTTTATACCTGGTAACTGCCTACTAAACTGATCATTACAATAGAAGCTTTCTACCTTTTTAATGATATCTGATTCAATTCTAACAATGTTAGTTTTTTCTGGAAGTGTTAATATTCTTTTTTCAAATTTAAGTTTTCTTGCTTTAGTTATGGTTGATTTTGATATATTAAATACTTCACCTGCTTTCCTTAAAGACCATGAATCTGGAACCAATGTTAAAATCTTTTCTCTTCTATTTGGTGTTTTCAGCTTTTCTTGCATTGAAAGTATCAATTTATCTAGATCTTCAGCTTTCTTCTGATTTTTAACATTGGGTTCCCCAGTAACATCATTTTTCAGGTCTGTTGCGTTAAAATTGAGGATAATTGAGAGCTTTTTTGACATAACATCAGTAGCTTGCATTAATTTTTTTTTTCCTAGAGAAATTTTAGCATGTTGTGGAACCCCATGAAATTTTACTGGCGATACATCTAATTTATCAGAACTGATGTTTATAAGTTCTTTTTCTTGTGCCATTTCTATATCTTCATCAAAAAATGTTTTTTCCAGAAAATCATCTTCACCATTGTGGTCCTGTAAGGTTGACCAATTATCTATTTTTTTTACCAATTCTTTTCGACATGAAGGACACATTTTAAAACCAGGTGTTGTTTTAATACCAATTGAACACATATCTTTTGCCAGTTGAATATCAATTTCTCGCAAACCACCTATAAATATATTATAAATGAATAAAATTTGCCAAAATTAGGAAATATTAGTTTAGATAATATAATATTAGGAATAAAATAAAAAAAATAAAATTTTTAAAACTAATTAAAAGTGTACTAGATGTATGTTTTGTAAAAAGACAGCACAATAAGTTAAAAACGTAAAAATTTACCATTTATATTAGTTTTATGCTTTTTAAATGGGTCGATGCAATTTTTTTGGGAGTTAGCAAACCGTTTAAGTAAAATTTGTTCATGATATAAACAGATTTTAACATTAACATTTAATATTGATAGCCCAGATCTCCATAATAATAAATTTCTATCTTTCTCTGAATAGCTTGATAAATCTTTCAATCCAATTGATTTAGTGTACACCATTTTATGACATTGATCATTGATCATTTGAGGACAGCTAGCTTAATAAGCTAAAGACTCACAGGCTATTGTAGCTACCGTCATATCGTAACATAATCGCTATCAAAAAAATTTTGGTAAGTAGCTATCAACCAGTTATAGATTTGTAGATATTTTGTAGCTAGCTAAAAAGCTACGATATGTAGCTAGCGACACATTGCTACAAAATCGCAATATTTAAAGTTCAATTATTCTCATAATTAAAATAGATTCAACACTAAAAATCGAATTTTTAAAGATGTTAGAGACATTAGTAAAGAATGAAATAAGAAAAAAAAATCGCATGAAAATCGCTATAAAGAGTTCTTAACGGAAATAAACTTACGAAACGTGCCATCTTTCTGTTAATTCTGTTTTATATAGTTTCTTAATTATATAATAAATAAATATTACTATTCACTTAGTTGAATGAACGTATAGCTCATTCAGTTAAGACATTTGGCCGCGGAGACCCAGGTTCACATCCCGCTGTTTCACATATATTTCTTCTCTTTTTACTCTTTCTAATATCATTTACCTTTAGAGAGATCTCTCGTTCTTTATAATAAAGTATTTAATTGTTTATCACACATCCTCTTTATACTTTTTAAAAAGAAAGGCATACTGTTTATCTGTTCATTGAGAGTCCAACTTCACGGGGTTTTACTGTATATATACACATATATATATATATATATATATATATATATATATATATATATATATATATATATATATATATATATATATATATATATATATATATATATATATATATATATATATATATATATATATATAAATGTATATATATATATATATATATATATATATATATATATATATATATATATATACATATATATATATATATATATATATATATATATATATATATATATATATATATATATATATATATATATATATATATATATAATATATATATGTATATATATATATATATATATATACATATATATATATATATATATATATATACATATATATATATATATATATATATATATATATATATATATATATATATATATATATATATATATATATATATATATATATATATATATATATATGTATATATATATATATATATATATATATATATATATATATATATATATATATATATATATATATATATATATATATATATATATATTAGGTATATTTGTATAAACATTTGAAGAATCATTTGACAACATTTTTTTATAATTTTATTATTTATTATTTAAACTGTTAACAGTTAATATCTTAAATATATATAAACATAAAATCTTTTGCGTCTTTTTCGTAACTGCACATTCCGGAATGCTTTTTCCGTAAGGAACTATTTCGTAAGTACTCTTACAAAATGATTTGTTTCGCAAGTTTTCTTTCGCAATGCATTATTATGGAATTTTATTTATTTATATTTTCGTATTGCGCGTTACGGAATGTGCATTTTTGCATGTGCAACTTCCACAATTACAATTCTATTACGGTAGATAAAGATGCGAAATTTTCGCAAGTTTTGTTTTTCGGCGAACAACCCTAGTAGATATGTATATATATATATATATATTAACCAGTGGGAAAAAAGACGTCGAAAAGACGTCTTGAAAAGTCTCATTTACAATGTCTTTAAGATGTCTTTTTTTAATCGATTATGCAAATCTAAAAGACATCTTTTTTCGACATGCGCCTTTAAGACGCTTTTTTTAAATCTAATATGCAAACCTAAAAAAGTGTTTTTTCTCGGGGTCGGAACGACTTTTTTGCCATACTTATTAGTATACTATAGTATCCTATACACTATAGTATTCCTTCTTTTCTTATTTGAAAAGCTATTTTTTTCAAATGAAAATGATAATAGCTCTTCATACAAAGTATGATAAAAAGCTTTTTTCGATGCCGAGAAAAAAACCTCTTTTAGAAGTCAATATAAAAGAGGAAGCATTTTCTACACCTTTTATATATTTAAATATAGGAGATTAATTTATAAATAAAACAATAGTAATGTTCAACACAACATTTTTTTATCTTTCTCTTTCTTTTCTGTTTTTTTGAGCGAGCTCTGTTTCTTGGCGTTGCTGAATAAAATTAACAATTTCACGTCGAGAAATCCTTTCATACGAGCAGATTACGACTTCTAGCTGGTTACGACTTCCAGCTGGTTACCATTTCTAAAAAACGAGTGAACATAAAAAACAGTCTATTGCTTAAATGTAATACTAAAAAAGGAAACGAAACTTGATTAGCTGAGTGGAGCACATTATACTTACCAACTATTAATTCAAAAAGGGCTGATCCTTTTAATCCACTCATGTTTCCAGCGCGGTCCCTTCTTTTTGAACCCACTAGATTAGATTGGGACAGGAGTGAAACGGTAAACAGTCTAAAAATATATAAAAATGAGTGTGCTAAATAAATTTACAACCATCAAAATGACTGTACAACGATGTATTTTACTATGTAGTACTTAAATCAAGTTAAAGATTTGCACCTCTCAGATTTGCTATGAAAACCAAGTTATTGAAAACAGATATTGATATTTTTCTGTCTTTTATAACATGATTTTTTAATTGAATTTCGCTGAAATTAAGTGTTGTAGACTCATAACAATTTAAACAACGTTCTTCAAGCACAAACATTATAAAAATTAGTCTAAAAATAAATAGTAAAACTTTTTTTAAACACTTACCTGCAACTAACTTAATTGAGACTAGATCATATCAATACCATCTTACTGGCACCATGCCATCCACTTTTGCTTCTTCAGATTAACATTTTTCAGCTTAGCAGCTGCAATTGTATATTTATTTCAGTATATATATATATATATATATATATATATATATATATATATATATATATATATATATGCATATATATATATATATATTATATATAAGCATATATATTATGTATATTTTACATAATATATTACTTTGTTACATAAATTATAAAATAAACCGGCCTACCAAAAATAGTTGATTAATTATTTCCTATGCAAAAACGTTTTACATAAAAAAAGTTATATATATATCTATATATATATTTGTGCGACCGTGGCGTAGTAGTTAGAGCGCTTGCTTTATAAGCAAGAGATCCAGGTTCGAAACGAGCCTTGGACATATTTACGCGTCACGGTAAGGAAGGAGGCTTGAACTTCCCGGTTAAATGCACTTCCGCGGTGCTCTGTGACAAGACCGTTAGGTCTTCTTGGGGCACCTAAATAACAGTTAAAAAAATTTTTATATATAATTTATAGCAAACAAAACTTGAACGTTATAATAAATACAGAGAAAAATTAATGTTAAAATAATGCTAAAGCTTTAATTGCTATGAGAAACTGTTTTTTTTAAGGTAATACTTTAATACAACATCCTCTGGATACAAAGGGCGACAATTCATTATACAATTGTTGTAAGCTCTTCGGAAAAAAAAGGTACCAATAAGTTTGCAATAATCTTTTGCTTCAGTTTAACTGCATTAATCATTAGCGTAACATTTTTGATTGTAGGTGCACCCTATATGTATACTTGATGCTCCATTTTCAAAAAAGTATGCAAAAGTTAGAAAGCAATTCTAAATAACTGCAATTAATCATATTAATTCTTTCAGATTTGAGATAATTAAATGTTTACGTCAGGTCTTCTAGCCTTTTTTATTCTGGGAAGAAATGCAATGTCGGAGTTTGGAGTTCTGAGTCCCTGTTTTTACCTGGAGTCCGGAGTCTTGCCCATTATAAATCTTTGAATAACGTTGCGTATGGCAATTCCTCCGGCATATAAATTATTTTAAAAATCTGCATCGTTTTTATGCTAAGCATCGCCTATAGCAGCCATTGCTTTTAATGATTACAAGAGGCAAATCACAGCATATGCAATGCACAAAAGTTTTGTTGTACACTGATAGTTAAATGCCAAATTATGCTCAGGCAAGATTAGCCATGTCCCGGTTTTTTCTAAGGAGAACACATTGAGAATTCTAATTTTAGTTTAGCGCACCGTTTTCTTACACAAAAAATGAAACAACCTTACCTTGGGCACAAATATTTATACTCTTAAACTTACTCTAGCCTTGATGCATTCGTTTGAGTTCTGGCTCAGAATCAAAAAGTCCGAGGTTCAAAGCCTGCGTTGATGTTAAAGTAAATGAAAGCATTTTTCTAAAGCGGTTTCTATTTATACTGTTTAAACTATTAGATATGGTTTTACTGATAAAATAGTTTTTTAAGGTTTTTTTTAAAACACAGATAGGAAGTATCTTTTTACAAGTGCAGTAATTGAAGTCTATTAAATGCGTCTGAGCACGTAGTCAGAATAAAGTTCGTAACATTTTTTGAGTCGCTATAATTTATCATCTAAATAAAATAAAAACACATTACAATATTTTGGTTTAAATACGCGTTTAGTTTACAAGTTATTATTATAAAGATTTTACTAATAATTTTTTATGGGTTATGTAACTAATTATGTAATTTTAGGAAGGGTATAAAATTAGAGAAGGTTGATGCGCGGAATCAAACTTGGAATTTTTCTCTCTTAGTTAACTAGCTAACAAGTTCCTTAAACAAAATATATTAGTAGAAATATCTTCAACCTAAATAAAAAAGAACTTCGCGTCCCCAGCAAACAATAGACGTCTTTTAGACCGTCTAAAATTGGTCTAATTTGTATCTATTGCCGATACGTATATTTTAGACGTATATTAGAGATCAAAAAGACGTCTGATTCTAGAGATACTATTTTTGCTCTGTTTTAGATGCATATTAGATGCATAAAATAGATCGTGCATAGATAATATTTTTTTCATCTAAACTTAGATGTCTATAAGATGTCTTATATAGATTTGTTATAAAAAGAAGAAAAAAACATCAACTAATTTTACGGAGCGACAATTATAAATGACCGCCATTTAAAAACCATGCTTAAACTTATTACGAAAAAAGCATGAAGATTTTAACCTATGGAAAACATTAATGATTATTTCTTTTGATAAATTTTAAATAATAAAATAACATGCTATTATAGTTCACAAAATATTTCGATGATTTGATGCTTAGCATGTTTGCTAAAATCCTTGTGATTTGAAATTTATTTTGCAGAAATATTACAAAATTAATATTTTCAAGTTAATATTTTTATTTCTAGAATAAAAGATAATGTAATATATATATATATATATATATATATATATATATATATATATATATATATATATATATATATATATATATATATATATATATATATATATATATATATATATATATATATATATATATATATATATATATATATATATATATAAAGAATATTAAAAAATACTAGAATTTTCATCAGTACATATAGAAAAAAAATAGAATGTTGGAACTTCTAAAAGAAATGATTTCTTATCTTGCGAAAATCTAAAAGAATATTTTGACCATCATGAGTCATCGATTTTGTACAATGAATACTCTTATGACCAAAAGCCTAATGAGTATAAGCATAACCCAACTTTAAAGGAAAGTTTTTCTGCATGTTTTTCTAACCAAGTAATTATGCACTAAACAAGTGGATTGACAAATAATACCAACAAATTTATTGTCCCAAAAAAAAACTATAATCATGCACTGAAAAACAACCTTTTGTCAACAAAAGAATGGCACAAATTTCCATTGATAAAGTGTAAGATTACAGATAGTCAGTATCTAACTTGTTTTTTATTTTTTTTAAAGGACACTTAATTACTATTTTGTAGCAAAATGTTTTATAATTAGATTCATTTTCATGTTGTGAAGAATAAAACTTTCTACATCAGATGAGATATATGTTAAAGAAAGCATTAAAAATAAGAATAACAAATCATACCGCTTTTCATTGCCAGAACCTCCGCCACCTATTATGAATAAGCCCAATGCTAAAAGTATAACATAAATATCATAATTTTTTCTTAATGGTTTATAAACTGAAGTAGATTCTTGTTTAGTTGATCTGAATAATATCTATCTAGCTATTAGTCTTTTTTATGTATTACTAAGATTTTCCTTTTATTTTAACTATTTGGGTGTCCTATTATATGTAATGTTGTTAAATTGGTTACATATATTCATATCATTGACAACACTCTAATGTATTAAATAATCCTTTAATTAACTTGATATGAAAATTGAAAATTGATTGAAAGCATGCTGAAGTTGTTTGAATTCAGAAATTGAAAGAGTACAAAATTGGTTGAAAGGTTAATTTAAGTAACAGGTATGGTTGAGGGATTATTTATAGTTCTAATTATAATTATTTCTTTTGAATAGAGTTGTTATCAGATTCAAAGATTGAAGAAGATAATTTTTCTTCACATTTTATTGATGAACACCAAGCAAAGTTCACATTTTCAAAGAGTTTTAAGTTTTAATGTGAGTAATTTTGGTTTTTACACCACTGAATGTTAATGTGGAGGTTTATTAATTTGTTAATAACTTTTTTATTAATTTGTTTTTGTATTAAAATAATTGTAAAAGATAGGTATAAAAGAATAGAAATGGATTATTTATAATATTGTGATCCGATAAATCATGTGTGTAGCATTTTATCTTTAGTAGTTAAGCAAATTTGTTTAATATCAAAGCCTTTTACAGGATAAAGTTTTAGCTGATTTAAAAAGTAGGTTTTCCAAAATATTATGGCAACTTCTGCGATGGAGTAATAAAAAAACTTACATGTATTTTTGAAATTTTAGTTTATATTACTCAAGCATAATTTGAATTTTAAAGTTCTTATTTCATTGTTTTGCTATTTGGTTTTATGAGCTAAATATGTTAATCAATCTTTTTAATCTTGTTTGTAGAGATGCAAAATGTTATTCTCAAGGAGCTTGCAGAAATAAAAGTTCTTTTAAAAGAAGTTATAGAAATTAAGTTTCAGGCTACTGGGGTGAAGTTGCTAGAATCGGTGGACAAAGTGGTTACACTGGATAATAAACTAAAAGATAAAACCGAGTATACTAATTTGGTATAATCTAATTATCTTAATTTTTAATAAGTTTGTTTAAATTTGGTTTATTAGTTTAGAATCTAAATAAAAAGTATTTGTAAATGTACTAAAATAACTAGCTTGTGTTAGACTCAATATGTTGTAAAGAAGTTTAAGTTACTAGTTTTTATTACTTTTACAGCTTGATAGTTTAAAAAAGATTGGTGGTGGAAAGCCAAGAGAACATGTTTTTTTGATCATGAAAAGGTAAATGATTATGTTTTTATTAATTATTAGAAATATGATTAAAAGGGACCAAAAGCAGTTCTTTTTGACCGTTATTTGTTATGGATTTACTTTTAACATGACAATTTGATAAACTCGGGAGCTTCGCTGTAGGTGTTTAAGTTTGTTTGTGTGCTAAAGTAAGTGTAATGCTAAACCTTGTTTAGCATTTTATTTTCAAATTTAATGCTTTTACCTTTCATAATTTTAAGCATTCGTTTATTAAACTATATTTTAATTTATTACATATATTAAAATAAAAATCTTTATATATTTCAGTTTATTGTTAAAATATTTATCAGGTTATTTTCAAATCAGTTACAGTCCAAATTAAATCGAAAAGGAAATGGGGAAAAGATAAGCTTAGAAAATCTAGTAAATATATGGAGTGTTTTACGAGGTATAGTTTTAATAGTATTTACAAAACTGATATCTGTATTAAAAAGATATTCTTCGACTTTTTTGTGTCATGCTAGAATTTTTGTATCCATAATACAAGTTCCTTTAGTTTTTTCATAAAAAAATTGTTGTTTATTATTGTATCTGGTTGAGATACAAATCTTCTTGTTTTTCTGCTAATGGTCTAGGTCCAATACATCGAATCGATGGAATAATGGACTGTTTCATGTATAAAAATATCCTGAAAGATGTTATGTTACCTCATGCTGAATGGAATATACCAATAAAATGGGTTTTTCAGCAAGACAACGATCCCAAACACACTGCAAAAGTAGTCAAGCAGTGGTTTCAAGACAACCATATATTGGTGATTGATTGGCCGCCTCAATCTCTGAATCTCAACCCTATCGAGAACCTGTGGGAGATTGTCAACCGCAGAGTTAATCATGAATGTGTTCGTAATAAAAATCAACTGTTTGAACAAATCCAAAAGGCCTAGGCAGCGATTCCACAGAGTTTCATTGATCACCTGATCGAATCTATGCCTTAAAGATGCAAGGCTGTGATCGACAACAAAGGATTCACCACAAAATATTGATATGAATACAGCTTGGTCAACATTTTGTGGAGTTGCACTTGTTTTGTCCAGAAGGAAATCAACTTTTTTTAATACTTTTGATTAATTTATTAATTTTCGTGTACAAATAATGAACTTTGTGATGAATAAAATTTGAAGAACGTTGTCTCTAAACAGTTACATAGTTATTTCTCTAAATTGAAAAAATACAGCACTTTTATACAAAGAAACTAAATTGGCATCATTTAGTTGCACTAGTTTTGTCCGATACTGTATTTGTGTGTGTATATATATATATATATATATATATATATATATATATATATATAATATTTCATAAAAATAGATTCAGAATTCTACATCTCTTTTAAAGTCATTTAAATGTCATTAATGTATATATTTTAGATATCGGCGACGTGGAAGAAAATGTTGACGGCAATGCAGAAATATAGTTTCTTATGTATATTTTTGTGAAATAAAAATTAAATAATGTTAGTTAAAATGTTTCTTTACTTATTTAATTTAATCCTTTTTTATGACTAATTTAACCGCTGTAACACCTTTGTATAAAACAAGTCCCAGCAAAGAAAGAGATATCTAAAATGCATCTAATATGCATCTAAAAACTGGTCTAAAAGGCGTCTAAAATCACGTCGTGAACGGGACATAAATAGATGTCTATCTTATAGATGTCTTTTAGATGCATTTTATTCGACACAAATAAATGCCTTAGATGCATAAAAGATGTGAAATATACATTTAAAGATGTATATTAGATGTATATTAGATGCATAAAAGAGCTAATATTAACTAAAAAATTATCTATTATCTATCTTTTTTAAACGCGCCTTAGACATCATTTTAAGAGACGTATTTTATACATCTAATATGCATCTGTAAGATGTATATTTCACATCTTTTATGCATCTAAGGCAATTATTTGTGTCGAATAAAATGCATCTAAAAGACGTCTATAAGATAGACGTCTATTTATGTCCCGTTCTAGACCTGAATTTAGACATCTTTTAGATCAGTTTTTAGATGCATTTTAGATATCTTTTTGTTTGCTGGGTCCCTGGTTCTAGTTCTAATTTTTATTTATTTATCTAAATTTTATCTAATTATTTTATGATTTCGCGTCCATGGTTCTAATTTTTTTAATCCCAGAACATTTCATTCATATGCCATTTACTAAACTAATGAGAATTAAAATTTTTTGATTTCAAAATTCTCAAATTTTATTGATGTCAATTTTTTTCACATATGTTTGATGTATATAGTTTTCACATATGTTTGTCGCAAACATTGTTGATAAATAAATCAGAAAATATTCCTCTTAAATTACCAGATCTTAATATTAATAAAACTTATATTAAAAGGGAATCTTACATAAACTTTTTAGGAGTAAAATTGGATGAAAATTTAAAATGGTGTTCACATATAAATAGCATTGAAAAAATAATCTCAAAAAATATTGCAATGATGTTTAGGGCTAAACCCTTTCTAAATATATCATCTCTGAAAAAATTATATTTCGCCTTTATTCACAGTTATTTGTCTTATTGTAATGTTGTGTGGGCTAGTACTATTCATACAAAACTAAAGAAACTCTACAATAAACAAAAACATGCATGTAGAATAGTATTTGGAGCCGACAGAAATGTTCCTTGCGAACCACTTCTAAGTGTGCTCGGTGCTTTAAATGTATATAAACTTAATTTACACCAAGTTTTATTGTTTATGTTTAAAACAAAAAAGGATTTGTCTCCTAAAATATTTCAATCTTATTTTAATAAAATTAACCATAGGTACTCAACAAAGTTTTCAGAAAACAATTTTGTTGTTCCAAAACATAAATTAAAATTAACTTCCTATTCAATTAAATACCGCGGACCTTATCTGTGGAAGAAATTTCCAGATATTGTTAACAAAAAGCAGACTACATTAGAGCAATTTAAGGATGAATCAAAACGATTATTATTGTTCATGGATCTCAATAAATCCGACTTTAAATGTTTATTTTAAAGTAAACACAATAAAAAAAAAATAAAAAAAAAACAGATTCAATTATATCAATGATATATGATAATATGAATAAGAAAAGAAAGAAAAAGAAAAAAAAGAAAAAAAAAAAAAAAAAAAAAAAAGAATAAGAAATCCAAGTGATGATGTCATAAGTGATGATGTTACATATTCATTTAGTGTTAATTATGAGATTTTATTTTTTCAATTTCTTTTATATTCAGGAATTTTTTTTTTTTTTTTTTTTTTTTTTTTTTTATATTAACTTATTTCTTAAACATTTTAGCAACTGTTAAGCATCTTAACGCTTCTTAATTAATTCTTATTTTTTATTTTTTTTATTATATTAGTTATTTTCTATTTCATTTCTATTTGTTTCTTTTATATATATATTTGTATGTTACGGTTATGTAGAATTTTTAATGGGGCTCGGCGATAAGGCGAAATGTGCCTTCTTCTTGCTCCAGCCATCAATTTATAAAAATGTATATGCAATGTAAAAATTTTTTAACGGCGAAATAAATTACACTAAAAAAAAAAAAAAAAAAAAAAAAAAACATCTTTTTTTTTTAACCAATTGAATAACTTTTTTATTATTAATATTGCTATTTTATTTTTTATTTTTGAAAAAAACGAATAATTTTAAAAAAACTATTATTTTTCAAATTGTAAATATACTTCAGTTATCAAGCCTTATGAACTTTGTATAAAATGAATCATAAGTATTAAATTAAAATACATGTTTACAACCTGAAATACTGGAACTCTACTGATCTTTAAAAAGATGCATAAAAAATGTTTTTTTATTGCGAAAAAACAATTTGGGTTATTTTACGAGCTTATCTTTTTAAAATTTTAATGCATACAAATCAGACATAAAAAAAAACTCTTGCAGCTTTTTTTTTGATTGAGTTTGATACATAAAAAATAGCCCCGCCATTTCCACTAAATTTTTAGTTTTAGACAGAGATAAACTCAAGACAGTAAAGGCCGAGACAAGTTTTCTAAATCTCAAAATTTTTATCTTAAAATTATACTCCCAAGACTTCCGGGGAATTTTTAACAGTGTCTATAATAAGGGCAATTCTGTCGTTACACCTCTCTTACATGGTTCAGTTTTTGATACTTCACCTAAAGACAAAGCTGAGCTGTTCGCAAAACAATTTTCATCAATCTCATCTCTTGATTACACTAATCACATCCTGCCTGATATAGCCGACAAACAGGTTGATCCATTATTTGACATTCGTATCACTCCAGCTTCTATATCTAAATTAATTTCCTTTTTAACTCTTCTACAGCTTGTGGTCTAGACAACATATCTGTTATGGTCTTGCAATAGTGCTCTCAGGAGCTGTCGTCTATACTTTCAAAACTATTTAACAAATGCTAATCATAGACCTGTTTTCCAACCTGCTGGAAACCGGCATCTGTTATCCCAATTTTCCAAAATTTTGGAGAGGAATCTGACTTGTCTAGCTACTGTCCTTTCTATCATAAGGAAGGTTTTTGAGTCTTTGTTTTATCAACACTTAATCTTTTATCTTGAATATATTAGCTTACTTTTTTATCAAAAATATTGATTTCAATGTTCTCGCTCCACTGCTGGGTTCTTAACGATAATAACCAAAAGGTTTTATTGTGCATTAGATAAATAAGGTGAGGTTAGATCTAGGGATGTACCTAAGCTTCGGCTTCGGCTTCGGGATGCCGAAGCATTGGCTTCGGCAAATAGTTTTAGGTAATTAAAGGTAATAAGCTACCGTTATTTTAAACATAAAATAATTTTATTGCTTAAAATATGATTACTATAATTCTACTACTTGTAATTTGCTCCTTGACTTTGATTCCTTGACGAATGTCGCGGCATATATAATGTACATTGCGACGTGCCGCAAACCATATTGTTGTTATTTTTTTGTTTGCCTTCTTATCAAAATTAATGGGTAATTTTTTATATTTTATGTAAGTTCTATGTTTAATTTCATTCCGTTGTTATATATTTACTATAACTTTTTTTAGTTGTAACTTGAAAAAAATTATTTCTTATCACCACTTAAAAACATGAACTATTAATGATTTTATAATTACATAAGCAGATAACCTGCATAAAATCAACGTTAGCATGCTGCAATAATTGTATGCATACTAAAACACTTTGAAAGCGTTACGAAAGGTAAGAGCAGATCTATTAGAGATCATATCGTTTCTTGACTAAGCTAGGAACAAATCAACTGTAATCAAAACTGTTATGATGAAATTAAAACTGATTTTAAAATTCATTTTCATAAATACAAAGATAATACTCGTCTGAAAATTGAAATGATTTAGACGAAATTTTTTTAAGAAACAAATCATTGCATGTTTAAGTAAATTTTTTATCAAGGATACTACCGCTTTCATTCGATACTCTGAATAAAAGCGGTAGTATCTTTGATAAAAAATTTGCTTGCTTGTTTTAAATGATCATTTACAACAAGCAAAAGAAGTTAGTTTCGTTAGTGGTCCAATCAAATCGTAATGGTCCAATCAAAAAAGAAAGCATGGGCATGTACAGCTTATTAGAGAAAATGGGTATAAATGAAAATGCTTCACAGAAATGTGAAAACACTGATGGAGGGGTAAAAATGCTTCACAGAAATGTGAAAACACTGATGGAGGGGTAAAAATGCTTCACAGAAATGTGAAAACACTGATGGAGGGATAAAAATGCTTCACAGAAATGTGAAAACACTGATGGAGGGGTAAAAATGCTTCACAGAAATGTGAAAACACTGATGGAAGGGTAAAAATGCTTCACAGAAATGTGAAAACACTGATGGAGGGGTAAAAATGCTTCACAGAAATGTGAAAACACTGATGGAGGGGAAAAAATGCTTCACAGAAATGTGAAAACACTGATGGAGGGGTAAAAATGCTTCACAGAAATGTGAAAACACTGATGGAGGGGTGAAAATGCTTCACAGAAATGTGAAAACACTGATGGAGGGGTGAAAATGCTTCACAGAAATGTGAAAACACTGATGGAGGGGTGAAAATGCTTCACAGAAATGTGAAAACACTGATGGAGGGGTAAAAATGCTTCACAGAAATGTGAAAACACTGATGGAGGGGTAAAAATGCTTCACAGAAATGTGAAAACACTGATGGAGAGGTGAAAATGCTTCACAGAAATGTGAAAACACTGATGGAGAGGTGAAAATGCTTCACAGAAATGTGAAAACACTGATGGAGAGGTGAAAATGCTTCACAGAAATGTGAAAACACTGATAGAGGGGTAGAGATGGGGATGGAGGGGTAAAAAAGTATACTGATAAAAATCCTTGAGGAAAAACTCAAAATTTAAAAGGAAATAAATGTACGAATAAAAAAATCAAAATAAAATTGTAATTTTTTTAAATTTATTACAAATATAATTAAAAATTGATGTTAGTTTTCAAATTAATTACGATGTTGCATTAATAGAAATTTATTCACAGG